TTTTCTCAGTGTGCACACCACACCACTCCACAGAATGTATTACGTTGTACTATTAAATACACCTCCCGCATCTTATCTATTCACATGTGATTCTCCACAGGCACTAATATGTATCTGGCTTACAGCAGGCATCAACAGATAAGGCAAAATGGTCCTAGAGCTGAGAGGATGACATTTGAAGTCCAATGGCTGTACAAGTGACTTAATCTCTTTTCAGTGGTGGCAAGAGCCAACTGTCAACATTTCAGGAATTTCACAAGTGGGTTATTAAACACAGCTCTTATCAAAAATTAAATTATAAAAAGTTACAAATAAACAACTTATATTAAACAACCATAATAAATAATTAAAACTCATTACTTCCTCATTTTATTACATTTTACTATTTTCTATGCTCTAAAGGTTATTTTTGTCTATCGTTTCTGTATGGTGGCAAAACTATATAATGGTGTGCTACTGTTCATCTCTTCCCAGCTCTATGTTTGGTGATATCATGTTGATAGCTTGAAATTGGCCATAGTGGGATTATTTACACCATGGAAATTAGTAAATGCTATGAATCAGGGGTTTTTTTTCCTAGAGAGTGGTTATAAGACATTTACCAGTACACCATTGTCTCTCATTGTTAAATGGGGATACAAATAATACCCACTTCATGTAAGATGTACATAAAGCACTTGGCACAGTTTCAGATACACATTTTAATAAATGGTAGTCATAAATTTTATTACTGGTATCTCATCTCATCTCTGGACTGGGGAGCTGAGGGAAGCTGTACTTTCATTAGGCATTTCTAAGGCAAATATAACATGGAGTACTACACACTCATTAAAAATTGTGCTATGAAAGTTAATAAACAGAAACCTCATTTAAAATGTAGTCGGGAGGCCAGAGGGGTAAGCTCTCACGCCTTACCATTCCAGTGTCAACTGCAGACCCAACAGGAACAGACGGTACCTTTGTATCTCTAATGGGAAGAAGGTTACCACTTTACTACCTAGCAGAAGGAAGAATTTCTCCCTGCCAGGAAATAGCCTAGCCATTGAGAGACTGTCACAACTCAGCTAATGAAAAGCCACTACACTCTGAATTCCCAGTTTCCTCCAATGGACTCTATTTATAATAGCTCCTCCCAACTCCCCCTTCTCCTCTATAAAAGAGTTTTCTCTCCTTTGTTCTCCAGACTTGCCTGTGGTTCCTTGTAGATTGCATGTCCCAAATTGCAATTCTTTTTTTTCTTTTATAAATTTATTTATTTTATTTTTGGCTGCGTTGGGTCTTCGTTGCTGCGCACGGGCTTTCTTTCGTTGCCATGAGCGGGGGCTACTCTTCATTGCGGTGTGCAGGCTTCTCATTGCAGTGGCTTCTCTTGTTGCAGAGCATGGGCTCTAGGCGCACGGGCTTCAGTAGTTGTGGCTCCCTGGCTCTAGAGCACAGGCTCAGTCGTTGTGGTGCACGGGCTTAGTTGCTCCACAGCATGTGGGATCTTCCCAGACCAGGGATCGAACCCATGTCCCCTGCAATGGCAGGCAGATTCTTAACCACTGCACCACCAGGGAAGTCCCCCAAATTGCAATTCTTGCCAATTCCTGAATAAACCCATTTTGCAATGAAACAGATGAATTTAATAAGGTCAATATATAAAAATCAACTGCATATTCTGTTCTTAAATTCATCTATTAGTTTTTATAGCTGTTTCGTAGATTCCTTGGGATTTTCTGTGTACCAGATCATGTTGTCTACAAATAAAGACAGCTTTATTTGATCCTCTCCAATCTGTAGGCCTTTTATTTTGCGTCTAACTGCATTGGCGAGGACCTCCAGTCCTATGTTGAATAGGAGAAGTGGAAGTGGACATCTTTGCCTTGTCTCCGATCTTAGAAGGAAAGTCTTTGGCCTTTCACTATTGAGGACGGTGTTAATTGTAGGTTTTTTGTAGATGACCTTTATCAGGTTGACATAACTTACCTACTATTTTATTGTTTTCTGTTCACCTCCTCCACTTTTTGTTCTGGTTCTTCCTTCCTTGCCTCTTAAAGAAGTCTATTTCATTTTTTTCTATTGGCTTTTTAGCTATACTTTTTTTTTCCACTTTTTTTTTTTTTTGGTGGTTTTTCCAGGGATTACATTATTCATTCTTAAATTTTCACAGTCTATATAGAGTTAGCAGTACACTAAATATAGAAAACTTGTAACATATAGATCCATTTATCCCTTCTCCAGTATACATAGCACTGTGTGTATACATTGTATGTATGTACACACATTTACATGTATTTCATTAACCCCACAAGACAATGTTGTCATTTTTAGGTGTAAAGAGTCATACATATTATAATGAAATGAAGAAGAAAAAACAGACTTTTATATCTACCCACATATTTACTTACTGATGCTCTTTATTCCTCTCTGAGGACCCAAGTTTCCATCTGGTATCATACACCTTCAGCGTGTAGGAGTTCCTTTAGCATTTATTGTATTGCAAATCTGCTGGCAATGAATTCTTTTTTTTTTTTTTCCTCTTTTAACTGAGAATGTCTATTTTCCCTTTTTACTGCAGGATGTGTTCATGGGATATAGAATTCTGGGTTGACTTTCTTTTTCTTTCAGCCTTTAGAGATATTGTTTCACTTTTATTTTTTTTATTTGGTAAATAGTTCACTCTCTAGGGGCTTTATTTAGCTGATTTTTGGTACAAAGTCCAGAGTTTATTTTTTTTTAATTTTTCCCCCTGTGGAGGTTGCTTTCATAGGATTTACTCAACCATTACCAGAAGCGGAAGTGCCCCAACCTTATTTTTCTATTAAACTTTTTATTTTGAAAAGAGCTAGACCTATAGAAAGGTTGTAAAAATATTATAACAAACTCCCATGTGCCTTTAACCTCGATTCACAATATAATACGTATTATTCTTTTCTGAGCCATTTGAAAGCAAGTTCAAGACATCACGCTCCTTTGCCCATGAATACTTCAGTATGTGCTTCCTAAGAAGTAGGACATTCTCTTACACAGCCACAGTTCAATTATTAAATTCAGGAAATTTAATATTGATACATAATATTCAGTCAACATTCAATTTTTTATCCCAGTGTTGTCCTTTATAGCATCTTTTCCCAAGATTTAATCTAGAATCATGCACTGTATTTAGTTACCATGTCTCTAAGCTCGAACATTTTCTCAGCCTTTTTTTTTTTTTTTGCTTTTAAGACATTGGTATTTTGAAGAATGGAGACCATGTGTTCTGTAGAATGACCAGTTTTCCCTGATGCATCACTGTCAGGAATACTCAGTGCACCATACCAGGAGGCAAGTGATGTCAGTTTGTCCCACTTTTTGTGATGCTAACTTGGATCACTTGGTTCAGGTTGTGTTTGCCAGGTGTCCGCACTATAAAGGCACCTTTTTTCCCTTTGTGATTAACAGAGAATTGGTGGGAAGATGTTTGTGACTGTTCACAACATCCTGTTCCCCAGCACACTTGCACCCAATGATAGCATCCATTGCTGATTCTTGCCTGAGTCAATTATTACTGTGATGTTTACTAAATGGTGATTTTCTAACTCTGTCGTTCCTTAAACATGTATTAGCTGGCATTCCACTACAAAGAGGAGCTTGTCCTCAGCCCCTTATTTATTATCAATTCATGAATTCTTTTAAATTCCTTATTTTGATGCTCAAACTGTCCTATATTTGACCAAAGGGAGCATCTTTCAGCTAGTTCCTGTGTGCCATTGGCATGCACCCATAATTCTTTGGAATTTTCCTTACTTTCTGAAACAATAGGATGTTCCAGGGTCATTCTGCCCTTTGCCTGCCCAGCTCTGGAATCAGCCATTTCTTCAAGGACTACTGCTTCCTTTTAGTGATTTGGGGACTGTACTCCCAGCAGCACCATCTGCAGAGTCCAGGTGATAGAGGCTTTTCAGAGTTGAAAACAACTAAGAAGTCTGTGTTGTCCTCTGAGGGAAATATGTCCACAATTCTGTCTACTTGCTACATAGTTCTGTGGCTGGAACACCATAAGCACTTCCCCCTCTGCTAGCAGGCTGGATAGACCAAAGAACAGTCTGGAAGTCTTCCTGTTGATGTTTGAAGCACCATATGGATATTGTCACCGTGTGTTCTTTTTTTTTTGGCCCAGCCACACAGCTTGTGGGATCTTAGTTCCCTGACCAGGGAACCCTCGTACCCTCGACAGTGAAAGCGTGGAGTCCTAACCACTGGACCACCAGGGAATTCTCATGTCATCGTGTGTTCTTATAAAGGGCTGGGAATATTTATTTTAAAGCCATTCACTTTTTTCTTATTTATTTATTTATTTATGGCTGCGTTGGGTCTTCGTTGCTGCGCAGGCTTTTCTCTAGTTGCGGCGAGCAGAGGCTACTCTTCGTTACAGTGCGCTGGCTTCTCATTGCGGTGGCTTCTCTTGTTGCGGAGCACAGGCTCTAGGCACACGGGCTTCAGTAGCTGTGGCTCGTAGGCTCTAGAGCGCAGGCTCAGTACTTGTGGCGCACGGGCTTTGCTGCTCCGCGGCATGTGGGATCTTCCTGGACTAGGGCTCGAACTCGTGTCCCCTGCATTGGCAGGCAGATTCTTAACCACTGCACCACAAGGGAAGCCCGACATTTTTAAAATGAGCTCAATTTGTTGACTTTCAGCCCTCATTTTGTCATCGCGTAACATTGTGTTAATTTCCTTCTCATAAGTTCTCTACAGTTAAGAATTCATTGAAGATGTTTTTTCTTATTTCTGTGGTGTGAACTATAAAGTGTCTTAGAATCCTGCAAAGTAGAAAAGAACCACAGTTTGGTTGACCTTTGTAATTTACCTAATGTAGTTCATTAGGCAAAAAAATGTAGAAAGGAGCCTATTCAAGGGGTGTGTTTTTTTGCATGTTTATATTTTATCATAAAAGGAGAGAATGTTATAGGGATAAAGAGGAATTAGAACCCAATCCTTATCTATAGGTTGTTCCTGAAATGCTCCTTCCAAAAAATAAATAACTCATGAAATATTTATTTCGGGAAGTTAGAATTTTAAGTTTTGGTCAATAGTGAACACAGTAAATCAAACTACACGTCTTATAAGTTGGGTATTTTGTTAGTTGATACACTTTTTTTTCAAGTAAATAATACATGTTTTAAACAAATAAAACATTTTGACTCTAAATAGTATTTTAAATAATATTAGGAAAGAAGTAACAAATAATCAACATGTTTCATTATTTTCATTATTCCATATTTTTCATTTTGTAAAATTTCTTCTAATTAAGCTTCACCATCACTAAGATGTCTTTAAACTGAAGCTTCATTAGCCTTTTCATCTCTTGCTTTTAAATGGTGGTGTTTATGTTCATGACTTAAGCTTCAGAATCCTTTAAAAATGACTTTATTCAAATTGTTTTCTAAAAAAGAGATTTTTGTGCTACTTGTTTTTCACACCATTCAGAACCACACTCGCCTGAATAAACATTTCAGATGGCCTTGGTATCATCTGGGCCCAAACGACAGCAAATAACCAAGCAAAACTGTAGAAATTGTCCAATGTCTTTTCTGTGAATCAAGTCAACGAATTAGCTGAGGCTCCTACAGCTTTGCTTTTGTTGCTGAGACAGACTGTCCAATAATTCCACTGATATTCCAATCTGAGCAATAAGACAAATAGATCAATGGAAGAGAATAGAGAGCCCAGAAGTAGACACAGGCAAATATGGTCAGCTGATCTTTGACAAATGAGCAAAGGCAATTAAATGGTAAAAGAAAGAATAGTCTTTTCAACAAATGGGGCTGGAACAACAGGACATCCACATGCAAAAAAGAGAGAGAGAGAGAGAGAATATAGACCCAGACCTTACACCCTTCACAAAAATTAATTCAAAATAGCCCATAGACCTAAATGTAAAATACAAAACTATAGAACTCATAGAAGATAACATAGGAGAAAACCTAAGTGACCTTATGTTGGGCGATAACTTTTTAGATGCAACACCAGAAGCGTGATCCACGCTTTTGAAAAGAAAAAACTGGTAGGTTGGACTTCATTAAAATTAAAACCTCTGCTCTGCCTATCTGAGCAATAGAGTCTGGATAATATTCATGGGTCTGAAAGATGTGAGCTTCCTTCTCCAGACTTAAGATCTGACGTTTTGAAGATGGCCACACAACATGGTTGATATTTTTATAACCGGGCAAGTTGACTTACTACAAATCACAAATTTACCCTTACCACTTGCTTTGCTGCTGTTTTCACCAGTCTTCTTGCCACCAACCAGCCATCAGGGATGGAAGGCGGCAACTGAGAGCCCTGGGCTTACTGTCAAGCCAAGAAGCTTCCAGAACTTGTGGGAGAGCTCCCACTCAGTCACTCACATAGTGACTGAACAGTTGGTAGGAATGCCTTCTGGGGAAGTTGGATTCTTGACCATGTATGTGAGGGTTTATTTCTGGGCTCTCTATCCTGTTACATTGGTCTATATGTCTGTCTTTATGCCAAGACCATATTGCTTTGGGGTTTTGTTTTTGTTTTTTACTGAGGTATAATTGACATATAACATTATTAGCTGCAGGTGTATAACATAATGATTCGATATTTGTATACACTATGACATGATCACTACAATAAGTATCGTTAACATCCATCACCATACATAGTTACCTATTTTTTTTCTTGTGATGAAGACTTTTAAAGTCTAGTCTCTTAGCAACTTTCAAATATACAATACAGTATTATTAACTGTAGTCACTATGCTGTACATCAACAAAATGAAAATGCAACCTACCAAATGGGAAAAAACATTTGCAAATCATATATCTGAAAACCCCAAACAACCCAATTTAAAAATGGGCAGAGGATCTGAATATATATTTTTCCAAAGAACACATACAAATGGCCAACAGGTACATGAAAACATGTTCAGCATCACTAATCATCAGGGAAATACAAATCAAAACCACCGTGAGATATCACCTCACACCTGTTAGAACTGCTGTTGTAAAAAAGATAAAAAATAACAAGTGTTGGCAAGGATGTGGAGAAAAGAGAGCGCCCCGAGCACTGTTGGTGAGAATGTAACTTGGTGCAGTCACTGTGAAAAACAGTATGAAGGTCCCTCAAAATATTTAAAATAGAACTACCATATGATTCAGCGATTCCACATATGGGTATTTATCTGAAAGAAAGAGAAACACTAACTGGAAAAGATATCTATGCCCGCATGTTCGTTACAACATTATTTACAATAGTCAAGACATGGAAACAACCGAAGTGTCCATCGATGGACAAAGAAAATGTGAACTATGTATATATATATGATAGACATATACACATACATACACAATGGCATATTATTCAACCATAAAAAAAGAAGGAAATCCTGCCATTTTCAACAACATGGAGGGTATTATGCTAATTGAAAAATACCATATGATCTTACTTATATGTGGAATCTAAAACAAACAAACAAAAAAACAAATGAAAAAACGAGCTCATAGATACAGAGAACACATTAGTGGTTACCAGAGGCAGGGGGCTGGGGGATGGAGTGAAATGAGTGAAGATGGTCGAAAGGTACAAACTTCCAGTTATAAAATAAGTCCAGGGGGTGTAATGTACAGCATCGTGACTGTGGTTAATAACACTGTACTGTATATTTGAAAGTTGCTAAGAGAGTAGATCTTAAAACTTCTTTTTTTTTTTCATGCGATACGCGGGCCTCTCACTGTTGTGGCCTCTTCCGTTGCGGAGCACAGGCTCCGGACGCGCAGGCTCAGCGGCCATGGCTCACGGACCCAGCCGCTCTGCGGCATGTGGGATCTTCCCGGACCAGGGCACGAACCCGCATCCCCTGCATCGGCAGGCGGACTCTCAACCACTGCGCCACCAGGGAAGCCCTTAAAAATTCTTATCACAAGGAAAAGAAAATCTGTAACTGTGTCTGGTGATGGGTGTTAACTAGACTTATCGTAGTGATTGTTTTGCAATATATACATACATTGAATCATTATTTTGTACACCTGAAATGAGTATGTTTTATGTCAATTATACCTTCATTGAAAAAACAGTATGTTGTTTAATTTTCATATATTTGTAAAATTTCCAGTTTCTCTTCTATTATTGATTTCTAGTTTCATTGTGGTCAGAAAAGATACTTTTAAATATTTCAATCTTTTAAAATTTATTGAGACTCGTTTCATATAATGCTATTTTATAAATGACCAGAGTCTATTCTATTTGCTTTTTATGTGAGCACTTATTATTACAATATTATGGGAATTTAAATTTTAATAAAAGACATTTAATCAGTTCTAAAAAACGGACTTGTAAACTCTAGTCAGTTGTGTATAACATCCCTCTATGTGGTGCAGGGTCAAGTCCCATACTCAGATGATATTATAGTATACACATGTCTCATATTATTTTCTAAAGTACTGCTCTGTTTTTACAACAGATATCAAGAAGTGAAAGTGGCCATCCATTAGGGCATGGACTTCCAGGGAAAATAAGTGATCAGGTATGGGAGTCAGACCCACCTGGGAATGGGCCTGAGTTTTCCTTTCTGCTGGTGTGATTCTGACAAGTTACATAATTTGCTGAGCTTGTATTTATCCACTTGCCAAATGCAGACAACAACACATACCTCATGGAGTACGTGTCCTAACTCAGGATTAGCTGAAATCAGATTAGCACAGGGAACTCTACTCAATACTCTGTAATGACCTATACGGGAAAAGAATCTAAAAAAGAGTGGATATATGTATAACTGATTCACTTTGCTGTACACTTGAAACTAACACAGCATTGTAAATAAACTATAATCCATTAAAAAAAAAAAGGAAGATGAAGAGGACACTGGCTCTGAGACTGAGGAGAGCAAGTGAGGGAGGCAGAGAGCAGTGTCCTGGGATCCAAGTGAAGGAGGTGTTTCAGGAAGGAGTGAAATTAATGAGTCAACATCTCAGATTCAGCATCGCTCTGACCTCGGCAAGAGCTTTCCTGATGGGGTGATGGGAATGCAGCCCTGATTTCACTGAGCAGGGAGGAGAAGGAGCAGTGGCATCTCTGGACATCTGCAAATTAAAGCCCTGCAATATGATTTCTAAGTAACCTGTTTGTCCCTCAGTTGTCCTTGCTTTCTTGAGAATTTTGCTATGCATTTAAAATTACATTTATCCTGTATTTCTAGGTGTCTGCTGTATTGCCTGGCTCAAAGCACATACGTGAAGCTTCATCAACTCTCGTTTATGCGTTCATTCACTCACTCCTTTAACATGATTTACTGGGCAACTTCTATGTGCCAGGAACACTTAGGCACTGGAGATCCAGTGGCAAACCGGGCAGATTTTATCCCTGCTCTCAGACAGCCTGGTCCCTTTCCTCATTCTTTTCACATGCTCCATCAGCTCTGTAACATCCATCACCTATCAATATTATTTCTCCCACTTGCGTTTCTGGAGACCACGTCCTCAGTCCACTCGAGATCGGTTGCTTCCTAGGCCAGCGGCACCGCCCTGCAGGATCTCAGGTCTCCCTCTTTCCTGGTGTACTTTTTCATTTTGCTAGAATATATCCTCCAATAGATTCCTGAGAAGGCGAGTAAGGGAATGAAACATTTACCTCTTTGCATATTTGAATACATCATTTCACATTTAACAGGTAATTTGAATGAGTATAGAATTCTACATAAAATATCCTTTTCACTCAGAATTGTTTTCGAGGTCTCGGTATTACCTTAGGAACATTTAAATCATTCAGGTCCTTGATTCTTTTGTATGTGACCTGCTTTTTCTCTGTTTTTTTTTTTTTTTTTAAATCATTTATCTTTGGAATTCTGAAATGTCATGATGACATTCCTGGGTGCAGGTAGTTTTTTGTTTTTCGTGCTAGGTCTTTTCAATCTGGAGACTAAAATCTCTCAATTCTAGTAAGTTTTCTTATATTCTCTCTTCGATAACCACCTTCCTTCAGCTTTCCTCTCTATTTTCTTTCTCTAGACCTCCAACTAATCAAATTTTGGCTTTTAGATTGGCCTTCTAAATTTCTTATCATTTCCTCCCATTTTCCATTTCTCACTCTTTTTTGTGTGTGTTTTACTTTCAGGAAGATTTCCTTGACTTTTATCTTCTAATTCTCTTGAAACTTTTATTTCAGTTGACAGTTTTTATTTTAGAGAATCCTATCTCATTCTTTATTTCTTTTTTTTATGACATCCTTATCTTGCTTTTTGGGTACAATATCATCTCATATCCAAGAATATTAATGAAAGTGAGTTTGATTTTCTGCATTTTTTCCCCCTTTGTTTCCTTTTTCTGTTGTTTGTTGTTTTATTCTCTCATTTATGTTAATGTGAAGAACTGAATATCTGATTGAATGCAAATATCTGTTAAGTCTGAGGGTCAGGAACGTGGATTTTTATTAATTTGTCTATACGTTTCTGTGTTTAAATGATCTCATATATATATTCTAGGTAGATTGGAAACTTTATGTATATTCATCTATCTTGATGACTGGAGACCTTCAACATAGAGTAATCTGCAATGAGACTAACTTGTAGTTGGTGAATCTCCAGTATTTGTGAGTCTTTTCTTTTGGGACAGGTTTTCCAGAGAGGACATTCCAAATCTTTGGCCTGGCTGCCAAAATTCTGGGAAAGGGAGGGGAGAAGGAAGGAAGGAATCTGAGGAGCTCATCGTTCAAGATGCAGATATTGGGATTTCCCTGGTGGCACAGTGGTTAAGAATCCGCCTGCCAATGCAGGGGACACAGGTTCGAGCCCTGGTCTGGGAAGATCCCACATGCCACGGAGCAACTAAGCCCGTGCGCCACAACTACTGAGCCTGCGTTCTAGAGCCCGTGAGCCACAACTACTGAGCCCATGAGCCACGACTACTAAAGCCCCTTCGTGCCTCAAGCCCGTGCTCCGCAACAAGAGAAACCACTGCAGTGAGAAGCCCGCGCACCTCAATGAAGAACAGCTCCCGCTCACCGCAACTAGAGAAAGCACACATGCAGCAATAAAGACCCAATGCAGCCAATAAATAAATAAATAAACTAAAAACCCAATGCAGATATTCACTGAACTCCTGGTGTTCGACCCTCTGACTCACCTCCACCTTTCCCCATGTCCTGTGTCCTCATCTGGAGGTTCTGTCATTCCATTTCTGCAAATAATAAGCCTCCAGCAAGAGTGGCAGCAACTCCTGGAAGCAAGAGGTGGGCGGGGACACCTGGGGATCCCATTATTTCTTACACAGACTTTCTACCCATCCCCATTTTTAACCCATCACCACATGTTTATCATCTCCATGGTCCCTGGTACCGCTAAACTCTGGAACTCGTGGGATTCAGGGTGAATCTGCTCACTTTTTATTGGCATCCACCTTTGAAAACACTTAGGTTGTAACTTTTGCTCTAGAATAGTTAGCTCTGTTTTCTATCTCCCACTTTTTAAAGACCTAGGTCAATATTTGCATAAATAAATTTTTTTATTCTTACAGATGTTTCTTGCCTTTTTTTATTTGGTTTTTGTAGGATTGATTATACTTTGTAAATTCCTTTACTCCCATCTTATTGGAGGTTGGGAGAGAGAATTTAATTTTGTGTGGCTGTGTTTACCGTAAATTCTTGATGATGGATCTCAGACTGATGGGCTCTGGAGAAGTTTCCGGTGCACAATGAAGAAACGCAGTTCCCAGGAATGGTCACAAGGTGGCTCAATGGCTCTATTTAATTTATAATTTCTTCATAGCCATCCCTGCCAACTCGCAAGAGTTAAGAGTACTTTGAGTCTTGGTTAATCCGGCAGAGGGGAACCACAGAATCCGAGAATATTTACATTGGACTGAGTCTCCGAGGGCTTCCTAGCCCACCTCCTCCAAGGCAACGGAGATCCACGGAGTCATCCAGCTTATCCTGTGTCTGGAGGTAGTCGCAGAAAAAGGTTGGGCTTGAATTTTAAGGTTCTTTTATGGTTATATTTGAAGTTGCCTTTAAATTGGAATACAAATGTGAATGCATGAAAGTGGGAACAAGGAGGGGTGGGAACAAGGAGGCCAGAGAAAGATGGAGAAGGCTGTCACTGGTTCACTGATCACACATCCTGAGCTCCTGCCGCTTGGATGGCAGTGCGCTAAGTACTGTGAAGACACAAAGGAGATGAGACAGGGTCCCTGCCCACCAGAGCTTACAGTCTGGTAAGGAGATGAGCCAACATAAGACAATTAACCACAACCAAGGAAGTCTGCAATACATGCCCAGTGGAAATGTAGCTCAAAAGTGCTACAGAATGGATGGAGAAGGGCAAGGTCGATTCCCTGCTCAGGAGTAGGGAATATCCTTGCTGGTGGAGCTGGCCTTGGAAGAACAGTGTAGATCAGCCCTTCTCAAATTGGAATGTGCATAACAAGCAGCACCTAGGGCTCTTGTTTCAAGATATGATTCTAATTCAGTACAGCCATAGTGTGTGTGTGTGTGTGTGTGTGTGTGTGTGTGTGTGTGTGTGTGTG